AGTTTTTGTGTAGCTCTCCGGGTCCGCCGAACCCAAGGTCAAACAGTGGTCGATGGCAGAGTTCGTGCGGCGCAACGGCTGGTTCCCAACCGCGGACCTGCGCGTAAGCCTTCACACGTGAACGTTTGTGAGTTTACTGAACAACGTGACGATCTATATCATTTAGTTGCTGCTCGTCGTTCCGGCCATACTGGGACTTGGGTCGGAAACCTAGTTAAATCCTGTCGTGGTTACCCAGGAATTCTAGAGCTTGGCTACTACTGTTTCGGTGCGACAGATTAGAAACGAGTGCAGTGTAGTAGTGATTTTATTCATTCGATCTACGACTGTGCGGGTGGACTGGGTAAAACACATATATACGGCCGAAAACATGACTTGTGCGCGCAACTGATGGTGCTCACCCCGCATGAGGGATGGAAATGTTTTCTGAGGCGCCACTGCATCGCAGCCCGCGTAAGTCGATGTCTGCATTGTTGTCGTGTAAGTCATAAATACGATATTGCTGTTGCACCTTCTTGTTTATCGGCGATTTAAACCTCCTCGAATATGGTGGCTCTGGAGCGCATAACACCACCCCGAGCACTGTGTAAACGCTCCACCATTTTGTCGTCGCTGCTACCTTTAGACTGGGGCATCACACCCATAGCCAACCGCCCACGCTTTACACGGTAAACCTCCCATCTTTCAATCAATCCACAACCACTAATTCTCCTATATTACTATACCCCAAAATCCCCCCCAATCCCCCCCCCCTCCCCACCTCTTCCCTCACTACATTACCACCCCCCCCCCCTCCTCTCCTCCTCCACCATTACCAATCTCACCCCCCTCCCCCACCCCCCTACATATATAACACACCACAAAACCCACCACCACCTAATAATAATAATCTCTCTCACCCCCCCCTCATTCTACTCACCAATACCATATCCTTATCATCTACTCCCCCTAACTAATTTACCTCCCACCTACTATCATAACCTTACATCCCCACAACCCCCTCACCTCCCCATACTTCTTACCACCCTCTATTCTACCACTCCCTACCCTAATTCCCTCCAATAACCATATTCACACCCACCCATCCCCATACCTAAAACCCCCCCTCTAATAACACTACCTCCCCCTACAACTTCTCTAACCCCACTCCACCCCCCCTCTCCCTTCCACCATACAACATCCACTTCCCCCCAACTCCCACACCCTTACATTACTCCCCCCCAACCCAACCTTCTTTCAAATCCCTCCCACTAACACCCCCTCATATCTACAACACATAACACCCTACCTCGCCTTACTCACCATCCCATCCACCCCCACAACCATCACTAACTACCATTATCCCCCTCCCCCCCCCTACTACCCCCCACCAACAATTAACCCCATCATACCCACTTAAACTCTTCACCACATACTCCCTCTCTCCTTCCCCACCCATCAACATCACACCCTCCCACTACTACACTAATACAACCCACCCTAATATCCTTACTTCCGTTTTAATACCCATAACCCATTACTATCATCATTCATTTAATTTTATCTTCTCTACCCCCCCCCCAACTACAAAAATAACCCCCCCCCCCCCCCCCCCCCCCCCCCCCCCCCCCCCCCCCCCCCCCCCCCCCCCACTTCCCCCCAAAACCCCCCCCCCCCCCCCCCCCCCCCCCCCCCCCCCACCCCCCCCCCCCAAATCACCCAAACCACAACAACCCCCGCCATTTATTATAATACACCCCCCCCCCCCCCCCCCGCACCCCAATTAAGTTTTTTACACACAACACACCCCCCCCCCCCCTTGGTTAAGCCGTTTCAACTCCATTCTGGTGGACTTCAGTGTTTCTCGATCCAACGGATCCAAACCTGGTCGAATATAGAGCTTGAACCCGTTTAGCCTACCAAGGCGGGAGAGTACCACCCTTGGACTCACTTCATCCGCAAAACTGAATCGCAGGCTTCGAATCCTACCCACCTCACGTTTCCATGAGGGTTGAGTTGTTTCATTTTCAGTTCCGTTTCACCCACCTCGAGAAGCCTATCAAGCAGGCTCTGTAGAAATTCGACGGCATGAGCATAACGAGCCTGAGGATTGGTATCCGATGAATCTGACGCGTGGAATATCACAAGGTTACAAAGCCCATGATTACTGGCAGTTGCACTCTCTTCTTATTTCCTTGTGTACGCCATTCGCTTCTTTCGCCCGAGTTATCGCACACCAAGTTGCTAGTGCCCTTCGGAGGCAACATAGGCACAATAAATCAGCGGAGTATCCAGAAGCCGATAAACACCGCCCCGGATAGATTTCAACAGGCAGGCAACTGGGATCGTCGCGACTTAAGAGTGACTCAGTTGCTGACACATGGGAAGAACCCACAGAGCACCTCGTTAGGGAACGTTTCGTCCCTCTTACTTGCTCGCGAATTCTGTAGATGGCAGATTGCACTAGAATCCGACACATTTGCACTTACCATTTGTACAAAATCTTTCTGGATAGCACCTAGAAGTGTAACTTGGTCAAAAGATAAACCGATGCACGAAATATGGAAGTTTATCCCGCAAACGGTGCATGTAAGCGCATTTGCGCGATGACGAACAACTTTAGAAATGCTACACCAAGGAGTCAGCTTGATCCTTACAAAAACAAATATCAATCCATGCGATTGAATCAAGGTAATGAGGAATCGTAATAACTAAAAGAAACGCAAAGGTATTTTTGAGCAACTATTGTACAATCCCTATTAATACTGAATTACACACAAAAGTTAGAGAGAGAAGCGAATTTCGCGACGTGCGTAATGAATTTAACTAGCCTCAAGAAAACATGAACAAAGCTCGAGAGATCAAATATTATAGAACGACAGAATAACTGCTGAATATGGAAGAAGATTTAAAATTGGATACTTCGAATTCACAAAATATATTGAAGTATACAAGTGCACACAAAAGATTACAGTGTGTGACCCAGAAAACGAGAACAAACTGGCCTGGGTGCAAAGCGATTTATTTCCATCCGGCCGCCATGATCTTGAAGTTGAAATGAACTGGAAATAATGGCAAACGACGGCATGCAATTCAAAGCCTGTTTGCAAGCGCCAATATCCAGCTAACCTCTGTACAATCCACGTGACATCTCTCACATGATTTCGAACTGCTAACAGGCCGTCGTTGCTTGATTTTGTGCTCACTAACGAAGAAGTTATGATCGACGGACTAGTTACAAAAACACCATTATGTCGCAGTGAGTAAGTAACTATGGCGCTTGAATATGCATACTATGCGGAATATTCTAAAGAAGAACATGATAAAGTACATGCGTACTACGACGTGTTATCTGCGCTTGTCAAGGAGGCTTCTTAGTTCTTTTTAACTGAATGCCCTCCAGAAACCGCATGGGAAACATTTAGTTGGACATATACTACAATGATAGAGCACGCGTAAGAGTAGAAATCCTTCCAGCGTCAATGGAAAAGCAACTCTTTTCTAAAGAGCAGTGCGTGTAAATGTGTTCTCGAGGGACTTAGCAAGGAGAGCTCACAAGCACGCCTCGAATCCCGACACTTGGACTTCCTACGTTGCACGACGTAGCTTTGTATGACGTTGGTCTACAAGGAGGAGATAACACATCAGCAGAAGTTAATGGCCCGATGCCGCTCGAACCGCAAACTCTTATTCAGGTACCTTAATGGCAAACGTAACATGCACCGCGGAATTCTAACACTGGTCACGGCTAACGTTTGCACGCGGTCAGTAACGGAACTAGCGGATCTCTTACGGTTCCATTACTCACAATCATCTCAGACAGTAACAAGTCCAAGTATTATCCCTGTTTATATTGCGCCACCATTAGATTTATCCAACATCACGTCAACTGCAGATACTGTGTCAACGAAACAATTGTCCTTGAATATCCGTAGCTCGCCTGGTGTCGGTAACATTAGACCGAAGGCCGTAAAGACAACAGCCAGTGATTTGGCGGAACCCCTGGCTATATTCTATCTGGGTTGCATGGAGGAGAATCCTATTCCACCAATACGAAAGCGAAAAACTATCATACATATCCATAAGGGAGGTAGTCGCACTGACCCAACCAATTAGCGTCCGATAACTCTATTTATTGTGCCTTCCAAAATTCCGAAGGCTATTTTCGCTGATACACTGATACTGTACCTATAAAATTACAGCATTACAGCACCGGAGCCACATGACTTCCGACAATACTGCTCACGCACTACGGACCTGTTACTTACACGCAATAGATGGAATGAAGCAGTTGATGGCGGAGCAGGAGTCTACGTCATTTACCTAGACTTCTCAAAAGCGTTCGATTGCTTGCACCACCGAGTGCTCCTACATACACTTAAGGTCTATGGTATTGGTGACACGTTCCTGCGTTGGATAGGCGATTTCCTGCACATACGTTGGCTGGAATTGAGAGTTTTAGTAACCCTGTCCGGTGCAATTGAGGTGGAGTGCGGTGTTCCTCAAGGTTCTTTTCTATGGCCTCGTCTGTTCTTTGTATTCAAAAGAGATCTGTTGAGGGCAATTACTTCCGATTTCCTATTCTTCACGGAGGACCTCAAGATATGAAGAGTGGTCAGGAAACAGGAGGACCCCGATGTTTCCCAGGGTGATCTCAACAAGATTTCGAACCGGTCAGTACAAAAAGCCACCCCATTCAATGTAGAAAAACGGGCGTTATTCAATAACATCAGGACATGACTACATGCATTGGCTTATTGCAAAAGTGTTACAAATCACTTCCCAGTAATGTCACATTGATGGGCTCAACCAAAGTGATCACAACTCTTTAAAAAGTGAGATGGCTACGAAAAATGACAACCAGCACGTCGGCCTGCTACTCTAGCCATTCGACAGTTTTGACCCATCATTCTTTCGGATGATGTACAACAGTTACACCTGCCCTCACGCTGAATACACTATCCTTGCTTCGCAACCTTCGTTGAAGCGCGACCTCGAGGTGCTAGAGAAGCCAGAACGCATAGATACAAAGAATGTCAAGGGTCTACGAAATCTGTCCTAGCCGCAGAGGCTAAAATCACTGGGAATTTTCAGTGGACGCTACCGAATGCTGCGCGGCGATCGCATACTAATTTACCAGATATTGTGTGAGCCTAATCACGCATGCCGGCACTTGCTGGAACTCAGCCATAACACCAATCCCAGAGGTAATTGATTGAAACTGCGTGAGCAAATAAGCATGTGCTTGACAAGTCCCATAGGATGGTTTTAGGAACATTTAAAATGTGTAGGTTTATCGAATAAGTAAATGGTTATCCTAAGCTTCTATTTATTCAAATGTACAACTGCAAAAAGATACTTTGGAGTAGGACTAATTTGTGCACACGCATAATGGTATAGTTAGCTGTTATAATTTAGTAAATGCGTGAGAAAGAAAAAAGAAATGGACAACGCTTAAGCGTGTGTTGTTTTATTCGACAGATGTGGTATGTTAATCCAGTTCAGATACAGCCAGGCTACTCACATGGACATTTCTACATGTGTCCTCACCGCCAAGTTGCGGAGAGAGCCGTTAAGCACATGGTTAGGTTTACGTTATTTCGTCCTCCGATTGGAGCGGACTATATCAAGTAATGCAAAATTGAAAGCGTTTCCTCAAGTCGCTTTCTTGAATTGCGTTAACGTAGGTGCAAGCATAACGTGAGTCGGAAGTGCATTCCAGGCAAGGGACACACGGAGGGAGCAAACGTTTCGTCGACAATCAACTCGACTGTAGTGAGTAGCCAGATTGAGCTGATGAACTCTCAGGTTAGTAGTTTGGTTCGCCCGCAACCGACTGCGTTATGGGTGAGTTGGGTTCGTCAGTATTAATTAAAAGAGGATTAGGGCTCCTCGCTGATGTCGATATTCACCACCGTACAATCGCAGGGACTGCAGTCTTCTCAGATAGGAGAGATGAAACAATCCTCTAACGAGTTTGGTCGCTCCACTTTGCGGATCTTCAAGTGCATCGACGTCGCTCTTGCGCCATGGACGCCAGGCCTGGATCGCATTTTCAACCTGAGGCCTCACGTAGGCGTTCAGCATTTGTAGAAAGATTGATAGCTCCAAGTTTCCGAAAACCCACCGTAAGAGTCCAAGATATTGACCGGCTCATTTCGATGCCATTTCAGCCTGTCTCGAACAACCAAGGTCGTCCTGCACGATCACCCCGAGATCGTTTTCTTGGGTAGCACGTCGTAACTGCTGGTCCCCAAGTCGACATTCATAGATAAGTTGATGGCAAATACTTACGACTTCTCACTTCGCCACATGGAACTGGAGCTGGTTATCGAATGACCACGCATAAGCCCTGTCGAGATCGCTCTGTATTGCCATGTACTCATCCGCTGTCCTGATATCATGCCAAATTTTTTATCATCTGTCAATAGTAAGCAATTCGACAGCAATACACTGGCAAGAGTTTTAAATGAATGTCAGAAATAAACGTGGCCCCAGTACCAATCCTTGAAGCATATTACCTTGGCTGCCAATTGGGTCGGAAATGGAGCTGCTGCTTCTCAGATTCAGCTGACATATTGCGAGGAGAATGCCGATCCAACGGAGCACAGGGTCACCGATTCCATAGCTTCGAAGATTTTGAAGAAGAATGCGGTGGTCTAAACGATGGAACGCTTTCGAGAAGTCCAGGTAGACAAGGTGGTCTTCCATTTTGGCATCGGCTGCCTTGGTCCAGCTTGATC